TTATCGGGATACCTTGCCGATTATTGTTAATTTACATTTTAAATGGCGGTGCCCAACAAGAAATGACATTAAAAATTTCACTGAGGCTTAGAAACTTATATATTTTTATTGTGTTTTTTCCCCAATTTGATTCCCTTTTAAATAGACACGTGTAGTCTATAGCCGGGAAAGGCAAAGCCCGGGCTCGCTTGATTGCCCCGTATTATCTATCGAAAACATAAATATTGTAGTTGTAGCGTTTCGCTTATTGAAATGTCAAATTAGAAAATTGTTTTTATTTACTATGTGAACAGTATAACTTAACAATGAATTCCTACCTAAAATTTCGAGGAGATCCGTTCAAATAAAGCAAAGGCGTCAGACCGACCATTCTTATATCTCGAAGCGGCATGGGAGGTTTTGTTACTCATTTTTTATTTCATTTGTGCATGTTTATGTGTTAATTTTTTAAATATACAAGTACAATATTTCATACTTGAAATTCAAACAGTATGTGTGCACACTTACAATATCAGTTTGATTTAGTGCTCCTTGATTATAAAACAAGGATATAATTTATGCTGTGAAAAAAAACAACAACCTCAAAACGGTTTAATTTCAAATGTATAGTACACATACCTTCTGTTTACTTAAGGATCATGTTTGCTAATATGAAAGTAAGCAAAGATAAAACAAAAATCGGTCATTTTTTATTTTTACATTTGTATTTTATTTGATTTCCTTTTAAATATGCACATGAAGCTTTTATCCGGGCAAGCAAAAGCCTTGATCTCCCCGTATAAGTATAAACATTGCAAAATATGTCATGCAATCAACATGACTGGGAAGTGGAATTGGATAACGGACCCAAATGAGCATGTATGCGAGCCGCCATATTGGAATTCATCTCAAATAATGACGTCACAGTGGAAAACACCCCGTTTACTTGACAAAATTACTTAAAGGGACTCCACTGAGGATTTTTGACGATGACGGGACTGGAAGTAATTTTTTGAGATTATTACTCAATTTGATGTAGATCTATCCTAATAACTTATGTGTAAAATTTCAGATCATTAACTAGCTCCATTTTTTCAGATAATTATTATAATAGTGAAAAATGACCCAAATTTGAAAAGCGTTTAAACGCTTTTCACTCAAATCAGACTGAGAATAGCTCAAACATATGATTTTCAATGCAATTCTTGTATATTTCTTAGTTATATTTTATTTATATTTTTGTTTTAAGTGCTCGTGTTTATCTATGTGAAAAATTAAAATGTTTTGTTTTAGGCTTATAAACCTCAGCGGAGTTCCTTTAAGATAGTAATACGAAAACTAACGAAAACGTATTCGGGCTATACATTAATATCCTTAAAGTTTTAAAGGTCTACAATGTGTATTATGTATGTGTCCTTTTCCTTTTGGGTCCTTTTCCTTTTGAAATTCGTTTAAATTCAGTATCCTTAAATAACATGTCAACAACTGCTGTGTGTTCGAATACTTTCCTGGGCAATGGTTTATGTATAAGTTGATTCTAAATTGCTACGCATTATGTTTGAACTAATGAACGAAGGAGCACTATTGGAAACTTTCTTTAAACTTAGACAGAAAAGTCACCATCTGTCTTAAAAGTTTAGTTATTGCAACCTCTTTAAAGCAATACCCTCTATATTACAACCATTTGATTTTTTTTTCAGTAAGATAATAAGCTTAAAGGAACTCCACTTAGGTTCATAAGCCTAAAAACATATTTTTTTTATTTCTCACATAGATCAACTGGGGCACTTAAAAAAAAATAGAATTATATACAATATAACTAAGAAATATGCTCAAAAACACATTTAAAATTGTATGTTTGTGCAATTCTCAGTCCGAATTAAGAGAAAGGCGTCACAAAGCTTTCCAATCCTGGGTCATTTCCCCAATTAGAATAACTATTCCCGAAGAACGGATTTAATGATCTGAAATTTTGCAAATAAGTTGTTGGTATAAACGTACATCAAATGGAATAAAAATCTCAAAAAATTATTTCCAGTTCCTTCAAGTGAAACAACCTCAGTGGAGTCCCTTTAACCTGTCTAGAGGCAACACCTCCCAAAAACAACCATCTGTCTTTAAAGTATAAATATTGCAACCTCTTTAGAACGATAACCTCTATATAACAACCGTATCAATTCTTTATACAGTAAACCACCGTTCGGCAATAACCAAAACCTTTGTGCTGTTCTGCAAAGGTTATACCGTTAAACACAGCATAAGTTTGACTTTAGATCCGAGTAATGTATTAAGCAATGAAACACAGACGTTGTCTTTATTTTTTCTCTCCTTATTATTAGGTTAAGATAAAAGTTATCAATTTCCAAATTAACTTTTTTTTATATTTATAACATAGTCAGATATAGTGTTTAAATATAGACGTAGTGTTTTATACAGACGTAAATATACATTTGTTTTAGGAAATTGGATAACATTCAAAAATTAAACAGACGACATTTTTGCAGACGACAATTTTCCCAGCATGCAAAGAGCTATTGATATAGCACCTGTGCGTGCGCACCAAAATTTTATTTACACAATTTCGTGCTGTTTACAATTTTATATTTACACCAAATCATGACTTTATTCGCAAATTTATTATGTTTTGCAATTTTACAGTTATTGACAAAACTACGGAAACCTGCTCACGCCACTTCAACATTGTCCGATTTAAATGCGGTGCAAACCTGTCTCCGCAGAAATGTAAGGAATGGCGCTAAGTTCAGTTTCTTATCGTTATTCGAAAATAAGTCAAATTCATAGTCTCGACAGCGAAAGCAACGACCACATTAGAAAGACCATTGCTACAGTGACCCATGAGGAAATATAGGCTAGACCAAACAAAAATTTTATTTTTCATTTACACTGATAAAATCTTTTCAAGCAGTTAGTACAAATTTTATACCATTTGCAATTAAACGGAAAGGAATGATGTCGAAGCATAAGAAAATGCATTGTGTGTTTGATGAGTGATATTCCGTAAATGTTCGGAGAAGTCCGTAACTGAACTTCATGCACTGTTCATATTTTAATTCAAGTAATAAAATAAAATGCAGCAAATAAAATGAGATATTAAACTATTTAAAGCTACTAGCTCAGAGAAAAGTGTTTTTTTTAAATGTCTCCGACAAATAATACAGGCGTGCATGAAAAGACTGGTACATAAATTATAGTAAAATTAAAGATAAAATAAGAAAATTGTATTAAAACACATAATGATCAATCCGACAAACAAACGCACTAACAAAAACGTCAGACTAACAAGAGATGGAATGATCGAAGAAACGAACAAATGACCGGACGAATGACCGACCGTAACGAATGACGTACACTCGCACGAACGAACGATAACACGCAAGAACGATCGTTGTTACGAACGAAAATCAATCACCAATCAATCAAGCAATCAATCAATCGATATGTAAATGAGTCAATCAATCAGTCGGTCAATCAATCAATCAATCAATCAATCAAACAAACAAACAAACAATCATATAACTAAAAAATAAATTAAAAAATGTAATAATATAACTAATAAACAATATATACATATAACTATCAGACGATTATCATGAAATTAAAGATATATGTAACTAAATATTCAACATATCAACATATTAACTTCAAAGCCTAAGAACACGTGCTGCCTTATACAATCAAGGGAACAAATTTATATTTGATTACATTTTTTAACCAAACCAGAGGTTTTACTACGCCGACATGCACTATCAATTTAATCAAATTTAAAATATTTCATGTGCCCTCGTTTTTAGAAAATGTTTAAGTCGGCTGTTACATGTGTAATGTGTTTGTTTTAATACATCGACCCGAGCTTTAAACTGAAGTGTTAGTCAATGCAAATGTGTCGTTTTTTTTTTTTTCTATTTCTTTTTTATACATTGTATTACTCCTTTTTAACCCATTACTTCATGAGCATTTTGTGAAAAATGGCTGTTTTCATTGAAAAGTCTCCCGTTACAAGTTCAAATAGCTATAATACTATAAAAACTGCTTCAACACTAATCAAACTTGGCACAAATGTTGACTGGACAATTGCCCTTGCAACAACATGCTCAGGCTTAAATTTTCTGTTACCATGGCAACGAGGGGACATCTCAAAATTGCCAAAAATCACTATTTTGCGTTGATTTTTTCCATCAAAATTGATTTCAAAGTGCTGCAACTTCTCAATGGATTGAGATAGAGTCAAATGTTTTTCAGCGTTGGTTACACGTTACCTTATGATCAATCTGGTGTCATTTACAGCCTCTCACAAGTCCAAAATTTTCTTGGCGATGAGGGGGACTCCGCCCCCCTTCAACCCCCCCCCCAAACAGAAGGGGGCACATCCCCCTTCTGGAAACCCCCTGATGTATCTTTGGGTTGGGGGGCCGCGCCGAAAAAGAGGTCACTTTTTTAACAACATTTCTCAAACAAAAACAAGTGTTTGGGGCCTAAATAAGGCATTTTTTCATCATTTGAGACAACAAAAAGGGGGGGGGGGAAAGGCGTTAAAAGGCGTGTATATGAAGTAATGGGTTAACCGATATCCACATTATATCTTAAAACCCGTTAGAAAACGAAAATCCGATTTCACTTTGTTATTTATTTATTTTGTTTATTTAATAATTTATTTCATTATTTATTTATTTTATTTTATTTATTTATTTATTTTATTTTATTTACTTTTTTATCTTATTTTATTAACAATTGATTTATTGATTGATTTTTATTTATTTATTTATTTATTTATTTATATTGATTGATTCATTTATTTATTTATTTATTTATTTATTTATTTATTTATTTTTATATTTATTTATTTTTATTCATTTGTTTGTATTTACATGTATTTGGGAAGAGGGTATTTGTAGACAATACCATGGCTCTCTCAGTCTGAGTTAGACCAGTGTAATTCAATGATGACGTTCTATTATGTGGATAATAACATAATGCGATTGTTCTGTTCGTATTTCTTTCAGGAAGACACCGGGGGACCCCAGTAGACAGACTGTATCACGCGGTGCATCAATAAATTCACAAAAGAATGGTTTACAACCATAAATCTAATAGATTCGTAAGATAGTCGGTGGTCCATTTTTGACAACGCTGTATTCGTGTACGATACGCTCTCTTTACGCGGTGGTGATTTATATATATTATATATATATACTATATACCATACTGATTGAAATACAAGAGGGTACGTAGTGGTAAGAAAAGACAGTGGATCATGCCGAGTGAATACGAGCTGTCGGATATAAGTGTGAAATACAAGCAAGAAAACACCAGTTCTGTGACGGGCGATAGTAGAAAAATGGCCAACGGCGGATTTTACATTTCGTCGGCAAAAGCCTTTATTCTTGTGTTTTTGGCATTGGCTGTTGCCGTCGGTGTAGGGATTATAGTGCACTTTGCCGGACCGGCGAGAGAAGTGGAATGTCGGTGTTCTTTTCCGACGACAGACAACGGGAATTCGGGCGGAAGCACTGCCGCCCTTGAACAGTGCAAAGACTGGGCATCAGATGGGAACACAGAAATTTGTAAGTTTTGCTGTTTGTCTTTTTCTGTTGGGTATATCTAAACACATAAAAAAAGTCAAAGTTTGATATTGATAAGTGCATTGTAAGGCGTAATCATTGGTCGGTGTGATGTACAAAATAGGTTAACATTTATAACAATTGAAGTTATTGCATCCTTACGAAACATGGTTTGATTTGTTAATGACTTGCTATCTGTGCAATAATTAATGATATCATCGGCAAGTAGATACCATTGTTACGTCACGCAATCATTGTTTAACGTGAATTATTTTCGTATTTATTGTTGATATATTATTTATATACTGTTTAAAGCTATATATGTGTGTTTCGTTTGACAATTATGACTACATAATTGAACAACCGAGCATGCATTTTCTGTACTTAAAAATACAGTCGAAGATGTGTTTTAAGACCAGTGAAAGGACAGGTACTCATCGATCACAATCGGCATTTATAAAAATTCACAATTGAATTGATTTGGACACATAAATACCGCCCTCCCTCTCTGTTATCTCTGTTACAGTAACATTAAGCTATTTTTTTGTCGTTTTGAAGTCGAGATTATCAGTGATATATGTCAAACGATGGACTATCATCATTCTGGTCATTGACCAAAAATTAATTATTATAATATGGTAAAACTGCCTTTTCAATATAAAAAAGACTGTCCCACAATTTGTTGTAGATACATTCTAAAGGATATGTATAGGTTTCTTTTTGTGCCTCGAGTCACGTGGTTAATGATGATAATTATATATTATCAAGTAGAATACAAAATTAAAAAGATTTTTTTCTTTTCTTCTTTTTGTGTTTATTCTTTATTTACCAGACCCACTCACGATTCACATCTAGATGGGCATAATGTCATTTTAATCAATTAAAATTACTCCATAACATCCACAAAATCTCAGCTTCTTGGGTACAAGTAGTTTTCAGAGTCTTTAATAAATCATTTTTTTTCTTTACTTTAACCAATTATTGTGAATTCAAGGTTTTTCTTGTATTCTGAACTTTTGAACTTGGTCCAATGTGTTCCTCAATTTTTCACGCTATTCCTTGGAGATGACGACTTGGGTTATAACTCATTTCTGTATTATTGTATTCTGACGTATGTAACCAAAAGTGGTCTTTTACACTTATCTTACTATACTTTTTTATTATATCTTAAGGCAAATTATGCCTCAGAAACGAACCTTTTTTGTCTTTCTTTAGACAGAGTAAACATGGGTTTTATTATGTTTCGATAATGGTTTTAGGGTATGTTAGATTCTCATTACCTGAAATAAGTACCACTGAATGTAAAAGTATTTGTCAGAAAAATAGCAAAATGTAAACAAAGTAGTTATTTGACTTCCATACAAAATACAAATCACTATAACTACTATACTGCTAACAAGTTCAAAAGATGCATATGAAGGTACATGTAATTGGCAAACAGGTATTTTTGAACAACAAAAAAGAAGCTTTTTGAGAAATGAAAATAATAGTATTCCTGAGGGATAATTGGCCTTTAATAAATAATCTAACGACTGTATCAAGGTTTCACTGTATTTCACAATAGAGAAATCTTTTTGAAACGTTTTCTTTTATTTTTGATGTATAATGGATGTTTAACAAATAAATAATGTAACCATTGTTTCAAAGTTTCACTGCATTTCACCACAGAGAAACCTTTAAAATGATACAGAGGCAAGTTAATGACAAAAATATTAAAATGATTTTTTATGGACTCAAATCACGCTAAAATGACATTTTTTTAATCCCAGCATGAATTTCTGTATTAAATTTTATATATTTTGGGTCTGAAGCGTAAATATATCTATATATGTTGAACGAAAATTTAGAAGCTGACAGAACTACCGAGTAGTTTTAAAACAAGTAATGTGACTTAAACAAACCCTTGGAAAGTACAATAACAGATACTGTGGATATTGTATGATTGTTTAGATACTGTGGATATTGTATGATTGTTTAGATACTGTGGATATTGTATGATTGAAACAAGTCTTAGCCTGACATTCATTTCTTTAACGTTTCCAAAGTTCACTGTGACAACTATTGTGAAATCTTAACGCTCTAACCTGACCCACGTAGGTTAGAGAACCATCATTTAATACTTAATAATGAGAAAAATTTGTTCCTGTGACTGCCTAGTATATTCATTTTGAGGACATTTGCAGAATTATGAATGAAAAATTCAAAACGGTGAAATAAAAATTTAAATCTCTCTTTACTTTAAATCACCTCAAGGCATTATTTGTTAAATACGTTAAAAAAATAACGCTATTTTTTATCTGTTTGTGTCAATGCATCAGAAGATTAATGAATCAGAAGATTACTTTAGTATTCATTTTTTTCTTTAGGTTAATTAAATAAACAAATCAGTTGAGAGATTTTTCAAATGGATTATATATCTCACATTATTTTTCAAGTTATTCGGCTCCACGTGCCTATGAATGAATTAACATTTTTTATGAAAGTGGATAAAACATTCTGCAAGCTTGCACAGTTCATATATGTAATATAGTGCTTGTATAGTGCTCAACTATTATATGTAAATCAGAAAATATAGCAAAACGGAGGTTTTTAAATAATAACCAAACATTTTTTTTCGGTAGCGTTTTTCAATGCATTATGGGCATACCATTAGCCAAAGTCTGTCTGAATAAAAATGATAAATATATTTTATCATATAATGTGAAAAAAATGCAGAAATGGAAGCGCAAAGAACATTATTTCATCACGTTTTGATAAAGGAAAATAAATACGTAAACATATAAATTACAAATATATACAAAACTTCTTTTCTTGCTTACCCAACGTTGACTGAATGCTTCACAATGCGTGAATGTGTACTCTTGTTTGAAGATACAGTATCATATAAATAACGCATGGTTGTCGGTGTGATAGAAGATAATGTCCATCCGAGAACTGGTACATTACCTCAGTTTAAGCCAGTTTAAGGGGTTGGCAATATCCTCTATCACCCCGACAGCCATGTGTTATTTATTTTATTATTCCGAAAGACCTACAACTACAATATTTATAAAGTACCCAGCCAAGGAATACACATCATTATTTTTTACAAATTAAGTTTGCTCAAAACAATAAACTTAACAAAATCCGTTCAGAATGATTGTATACATTTATACATAAAAATACGGACGTATGTAGTATCTCCCTTATTCCCAAAAACATATTACATGTATAACAAAGTTTAGTTAAACTTAAAAAAAATGCTGAATAATAAATATAAAGTTATGCAAGAGTTATTTGATCAAGGGTGATATAAGAAATATTCCCAGGGGAATATATCCTATGAGGGTGATATCCAATCAGAACACATAATGGGCTTATGAAATATACTCCATCCTTTAACAATTTAGAAATATATTCCATATACTGTTTACTCCGTAGGAGCCTACTCACTGGTTTGGAGCTTTGAACATGAAAAAAGCTTTTCAATTCTTTGAAAAAGACAACCCGACAAAAATCATGGCGGACAGCGTGCCCTGTAGGCGCCCATTTATAGGGGGTCTTTTGTCGTCCATTTTGTAATCATATGGTAATCAATTCTCCGTTCTGATTGGCTTAGCAAAACCGGTGTATGGGTAGAAATGTCAAATCTTAATCGTATACATATGCCGCCGTCCAGGGATGGCGGCAGCTAAACACACAGGTTGTTAAAAAGGATAATAAAAATCATGCATGTGCAATTTGAACCAGTGTATCGTAACACTAAGCAACCAAACCATATCTTGGTAAATTAAGTAATGATCAAATATATTCTATTTTAAGCTGATATCTACATCAATTTATTGCATTGTTACGCAAGATAAAATGTTTATACTTATTGACATGATACGGAAAGTATTCGTATGTTATTAATTTAACATCTATGAATTTTAAAGGGAGATAATACCGGGTAAAAATGATCATAATAGGTAGTTGCTTTCATTTCAAGTAAGTATGTCCTACGATTAAAAAAATAAGACAATGAATTTTTCATCAAAAAATAGATATTTGATATGTATCTACCTCGGTAAAAAACTATTTTTTATTTAAATTATAAACATAGTTTTTAAGTTTTGTTCAATAATGTCGAATGAACATTTTAAAAAGTTGCACTCAATCTTCGAACAGCTAGCTTTAATAATTCAACTTTGAGTTATTTGTTAAAACATGTCATCGTTAACATAAACCATTAAAACGCATCCTCACAAACCGTTGTTGTTTTGAAAATATGCTATTTACAAATTATAACAAGTTGACTTGTGTATCCTATTTGTATGGTAGACCGACTCTGTCTAATATGATATTAAATGCGACAAATGGCATTATTCATATGTATATATTTATGGAAAACCGACTTTTTCAAAATAGCCGAGTGACTAGCCTACAAATACTGGCATAAATTGTAGTCTGGATTACCTGCCCTTTTCTCTCCGTTCAATAGTACTAAATTTTATAGTACGACGGGAACCAGACTAGCATTTGTTGTTACTAAAGTAGCTGCTTTTTTAGAGTAAAAGGCACGTGTTATATTTAAATCTTACGACTATGTTATTCTTACGTTGTACCGTTTCTTGAAAACTTTTATGGAAACATACAACAAGACCACCTTTGATTTAAGATCACCCTGTTAACAACAGACCACTGTTCGAATGAATACATATAACCAATGAACCTCCAAGTAAAGACCACTTGTCTCAAGGCCTTGTTATGTGTCTCCTTTGAATGACCTTTGTTCGCAGGTTTGTCTGCCCTCCCGCATACTAGGTGTTCATTTTTCAATTAAGTTTTCACCTGTAGGAGTTATTTATGTGTTTCACACAGTCAACTTAAACTTTACTGACATACAATACACTCGTTTAGTAACCGACAGTGTAATCAAGAAAATGAAACGAAATGTTGCCTTATATAAAACGTTATAAAAGTAGTAATATGTTCAAAATATTTCACGTGAAACCGTGACTGTATCCAGTTTCATCCGCGTGAAA